CAGCGAAACAACGCAAAGCGATGTTTTATACGAAGATACGCCGCTCGCGGCGGCTTTATTACCCTCGCGGCCGGGTCTCCTCGAGGATCCCGAAAGGCCGCACCGCAGCCGGTTCTTTTGAAATTCGCGTGCAAGCTCCCCGCGCGTGCAGAGGAAATCGCATTTGCGAGACGACCAGGCCGCCGCTCGGTTTCATGCATCTCGGCATGGTGCATGAAATTTTTATTACACGCTATGCGGACACACACGTATGCACGCGCGCGTGACTCTCCCGAATTTTTCTCTTCCTTCGCGCGAACGTGTTGGCGTTCATCGAGAGAGATTTTGGTTGACTGATACGGTGAGTATATATTAAGGCTCCCCCCGGAGAACTCGCCGCGGTTATGTTGGACTGTGACGTCAGAGGCGAGAAATGACACACTGGAAACGTCGGCGTGTCGTTTCCAGGGAAGTGAGATATCCATAGGGAAGAACACCTATATCCATAGGGAAGATCGCTCGAGAATATTTGCGAAATGCTTTGAAAAGTATCCTGCAAGCAGAGAGGAAATCGATTAATCGAAATTGACTATTCTTACGGCTCAAGAATATTCGATGGTTGATTTGTTTATTGCTCATGTCTTAAACCGTTTAATGTTTTCTGTATGTCCAGGCCCACAGAGTTGATCAACAGCCGCAGAATGACTGATGTGACGTCTGGTCATATGCATGCGCAATCATTTCACACAACCAAGTCTCATGTCACAGACATTTTACGGCTGTTGGTCAAGAGAGAAGCATTGCTTTTGGAGCATTTTACAAGTGTGCTCTAGTAGTCTGAAGTATTCTTTCACACGTCCAAATATCTTTTTATCCGAAAATGGCACGGGAGGATTTTTAGCACCAGGAGCCCCTTGGCTATTCACTAGAGGATTTCCTGATTGATGACGTCCGAAGTGAGAAAGTACGCGTTTAAAATTCCCGAAGATTGCGGTGAAACAAAAAGGTGTGTCGTTAAAAATGACATTTCCAATCGATCGAGCGAATCTATCGAACTGTCCAAACACTTTTGTTTTGCTTTAACACACTCAATAAATAACAGCAAAATTAACATGACATTATGAAAAAAGATAGGTTAAAAAAATAGGTCGCATTGTTACTAATTTTACGTTTATTTATGGACTGTTACATTATTTCGTGATTATGTTATTTTAGGCCAACGTATTTTGCAGGAATCTTGAGCATGTATTTTCTTGCTTTCGACGTCATCAATCAAAATGGCCGCGACGAGCGATAAGAAGCTTTAACATCGAGTAGATCGGATTGCATATTAAATGATTATTTCCATCAATTATTTTGATTCGACTGATTACGTATTGATTAGTAATTAACACAACAAATTGGTTAAATTATTCATAATGACAAATATAACGATTAATCTATTTTGATTATTCATCTGCTGATTACTTTCGTCAACTATGATAATATATAATTCCGACACTAATATCCGACACATTAATGCTTCGTCCGCCGTGTTATTCTTTATTATAATGCTGATTCAAAAGTTGAGACTGAAAATCGTTCGGGTCACCGGAGACTGTGGAATACAACGGGCGAATTTAGGAGTTGAAATTAGTTCCGCTGATGACCGCGTTTTTTTTTGCGACGACTTTGTATTCCACGCACACACCTGACCCTGCATCACCCTGTGCGTCCTCCCGCTTCGTTTTACCTCCGGCGTATTGTAACGAAGCCGTGCTGAGTGTGTTTTCCGAGTAGTGTCATGAACGTCATTAGTTGGCGCAATTATCCGCGCCCTCGCATCTCTCTCTCTCTCTCTCTCTCTCTCTCTCTCTCTCTTTCTCTCTCTCTCTCTCTCTCTCTCTCTCTCTCTCTCTCTCTCTCTCTCTCTCTCTCTCTCTCTTTCTCTCTCTCTCTCTCTCTCTCTCTCTTTCTCTCTCTCTCTCTCTCTCTCTCTCTCTCTCGTCACTGAACTCTCTCTTCGAATTATTATTTAACAAACACAATACATTCCGTCGCTGCGGCATATTTCGCGATGTTGAAACAAATGCATTACTTATCGCCATGTAATCTTCCTCTGTCTTCTTTTTATCAAGAATGGCAAAATCTTTTCGTGTCAAAAACAAGGCACAGGTTTCGTGGATGACGAAGCCATCGTTAATTAACGTTGTCATTCGTGAAAAGAGCTCTAAGGACGAAATTATCAAACTGAGTTTTTATTATCGTCGCCAATTGAAAAAATGGCTGAAATTATATTGAGATTGACTTTAAAAAATAGCGACAAATGTTGAGGAATTCTACAGGATCTGGACGCGTGATTGACGTGCGAGATGGTTGCGGAAATGAAGAAAAATGTAGTTTAGCGCATTCTTTTCTTCTTCAACCACAGGACATCAGGATGTAATCGTAGGATTGACGAGAAGACTACAACGAGTTCGATGGGAAGAATCGTCCTCCTTTGTTACCGCCGCATTGCCATCCATTTACAGGTTTTCTAAACGGTATACTTTCAGGAAACGTAAATATATGCGATGACCTATTTAAGACGTCGGCCGACTAATTATGAACGACATAATAGTGGCCAACGACGTTTCCGTACATTAGCAAACGACACCATTTCGAAGCCATTCACGGCTTCTCCTCAAACTTTCTATTGTCTGCAAGCAAACGTTCGACACGCGGCATGATGCTTTATTCCTAAATTGTCTCTGTTCTAAAAAAAAAAAACACTCTACTTATTTTCTCTCTCTTTTGGTCGAAATGAAAGCTCCAGTGATTTATTTTAACATAGCAGTGCATCGAAAAAAAAAAAGAAAAAAGAAATCAGTAAATGAGTGCAAAGAAACAGTAAAATGAACACACTTCTATCGCTCAACGTTACGTATTTTTAATTCTTTAATAATTCTAGTTGATAACTAATAATAATCATCATTAGTCATTGTATTAAAAGCAACTAACGAATAATATAATTAATACTAGCAATAACTACTGCAAAATTTGGAAAACGGTAAAGAACTTTTCAATTCAGTTGAATCCGCTCTACTGTACGCGAGTTGTGTCAAGCATTTTGTATAGTATAACAATACGATCACCAAATAAAAATAAGGACTCTATGTTTGCCTTTTAAAAACAGTATTGTAAAAATAAATGCAAAAACGTCAAGACATTAACAAAGACATCAGATTCGACATTCGCAACTGCGAATGACTTTTCGGAGGTGGAAAGCTCTCAGTCTCTTGTGTCGGAGCAAGTTTTTTCTGGAACAATGAACACTACGCGTTACGTCACCAAATACCTTTATTCCCATTTTTTACATTGATATCAGCACGAACCGTCTGAACATGAGTTCAGAGAGAAGCGACGAGGATCGATGTGCTTTCTGCGACGACGGCGACAGTAGTTAGTTAGTTCGCGCACACGGCAGAATAATATCCAGTTATAAAGTCAAAGGTACTCGACTCGCGTGGGACGGGCGGATGAATCAAGACAAGGCGTGAGTTCGACGGAGACACAGACACGCGCGCGCTGAGTAATTATCGAAGCCGCGGTCTCGCGGGAGAGGACGCAGGAACTGCGATCCTTAGGCGCGTGCCGTGATAAGATACGCAAGAAGGTGCGCAACTGATGCTGAGAGTAAAAGCGATTATCGAGCACGTGTGATGAGCGATAATTTAAACATCCACGGTGCATTCGTATATGTATGTTTTCGAGAGCGCGATAACATGCGGGGGCCGAGCGTTTAAGCGCCGTCTCCCTGCGCACGGAATGGGCTCTCTCTCTCTGATATTTACACTGCGCTCGGTGACGTGTTTGCAACCGAGCCGCGGAACGTTGATATTCGTCGTCACGATCCGCTTGATGCTTGAGCTGTTGGAACAGGAATAGCAGCGCGAACGAGCAGAAATAAAAGTCTGACCGTGCGGCGTGCCGAGACACTTCGGCGCGAGATACGCGCTGGAACATCTAATTTGAAATTCTCGCTCTGATGAGACTATGCAAAGGGGAAGAAGAAGGAGCAGGACGTCGTCTTGCAGAAGAACCGTCGAGGCTAGAGGAGATAGCACCTGTCTTTTTCTCTCTCTTTCACACAGGCCAAAGTATTTATTTATTTATTATTTATTTGTTAATTTTGTTCATTATTTCAGTCAAATTATTTCAAAGTCCAATTATTATTTCAGTCAAATGTGTACCATCCGATCTGACGAACTGCTTGTCTCGCGGATTTCTCCTCTCGTTGTCGAAGCGAGGAAAAGGTGCGATCCTCACTTCAACTGGTTTTCATTCAACGACTCGTTCGAATTCTTTGATACGCTTGATTTCATATAGATATGAGATTTGCATTTTATCAAGAAGTTCTAGTCCAGAAAATGGCCTAGATATGCGTTGACCTATCGAGGACATCGACTGACTAATTATGGGCGACATAATAGCGGTCAACGATGTTATCGTAAATTGACAAACGACACCATTTCGAAGCCATTCACGGCTTCTCCTCAAACCCTCTGTTGTCCGTGAGCAGACGTTCGACGTACGGCGTAATGCTTTATTCGTAGATTGTACCTGTTCTAGACCAAAATAACTCTACTTGTTCTCTCCCTCTCTCTCTCTCTCTCTCTTGGCTGAAAAGAAAAAGTCCAGTGACCCATTTTAACATAGCGGTAGCAGTTTCGGAGACCTGTATACCTCTTTTCTCGAAGATAATTTACCATCACAATAATGATTAAAGTCTGTGTAGAAAATTCGAACATTATCTAGTTTTCGAGAATGCATAAAATATCAATAAACATAAGAAATATCACAGTATTAAGAATAAGCACATGCAGCAATAAATAAACGTTGCTGCTAAATCGGAAATGAAGTATGCAAAATAATACACACAGAATGATAATAATAAAAAGTAGTAAAAGCAAATACAAAGAAAAAAAACAAAAATAATATTTTATATTTATATTTCATATATATATTTATACATTATATGTATTTTTAATATATAACATGCCTGATAATGAATGTCACAACGCTCGTGTATGTGTAAAGATCATCAAACTGAATAAGGAAGGAATCTATACTATCTTGCAAATTCCGCAATAAATATTAAAAGTATCTTGTAATAAATGGCATTAATTAAAGGTAATTAATTAAAGAAATCAGCAAACAAGTGCAAAGGAACGAAGAACACACTTCTACTGCTCAACATCACGCATCATCTGACGCAGCTTGTAAAGCTCGTGTTACCACTTTCTATGCGCGTTGGTAAATTTGCTGTTTTATTCTTTAACAACCTTAATTAATAATTGATAGTAATCATGATCGTCAGTTATTGTACTAAGAATAACTAACAAATGATATAGTCAATAACTACTGCGAAGTTTGAGAAACGGTGAAGGACTCTTCTATTTAGTTTAATCCGTTCTACCGGATACGCGAGTGTTGCATTAAAGACACTCTGTATAATAATAATACGGTGATCAACTCAAAATAAGAACTCTATGTTTGCCCTTTAAAAAGATATTGTAAAAATAAATACGAGAACATTAGAATATTAATGGAGACATCAGATTCAATATTCACAGGTGCGAACGTTGGTAGAAATCTCTTGGTTGTCTGTGTCGCAGCAAGTTTTTTCTGAAACAATGAACACTACGCGTTACGCCAAGAAACACCTTTATTTCCAATTTTTACAATGATGTCGGCACAAACCTCCCGGCGGTGGGTGATCGAACGAGAGAGAGAAGCGACGAAGACCTAACGCGCGGAGCTAACAACGGTTTATTTATTATTCCAGTCAAATACGTACCGTTCGACCTAGAGAACCGCTTGAGATCTCACGGATTTCTCCTCTCATTGCCGAAACGAGGAGACGGCGCGATTCTCACTTCGGCTTGTTCCGTTCAACAACTCGCTCGAGATCTTTGATACGCTCGGCTGCGTATATAAGTACGAGATTTGCATTTTATCAAAAAATTCTAGTCCAGGAAATGGCGTCACGCGCGCGGGCTGCACGTTCCCGCGCGCGCGCGTGCGAAAGAGAGAGATGGCGGTGTGATTTCCATGCAAGGATCATGAGGAGATGGGTGCCCGGGGACTGGCAGAGAAAATTGCCACCGCATATTTTCGTTTCACTGGGCACGATATTCCTATTTTTTAATTGCTAGAAAAGACATTGTATTCATTATACAAGGCTAGCAGCGGTTTCTCTTTCTCTGTATAGTCTTCCTTCCCTATTACCCTCCGTTCGTTCTGCCTTTCCCTCTTCCCCTCTGTCGGCCCCGCTGCGTTCCTCCATGGACGCCCTCATTGGTGGTCCGGGACTGTCTTCTCTCTGCATGTTACGGCCGCTTTACTTCTGCTGAAACAATTCGGACAACACATCGAACGGAGAACGTGAAGACACGCTCGCACGGATCCGTTTCCGATTACGGTAAACTCGCTCCCTGTGTCCCACGTGTCGGGAAAGACCGCCGACCAACAAAGAGGCTTTCTCCCTCGTGTGACATCACGAATCATGACACGAGGAAAAGTGCCGGTGCATCGACAAAATCAACGGACATACAACAGACAAGAGAGAAAGAAAGACACCAGCTGCGGACGATAACAAAGAAAAAAGAAAACAAAAAAGAATGAAAGAATTGGTCCTGACTCGTTTCTGAAAGAAAGACGTCTCCGCTAAATCACTGTAAATAATCGCGACAGATAAATAAGGGGACGAACAAATCTCTCGCGGGCTGACAGATATTCATAAACATAACGAGTCGCGCTCCGGCTCGAGCATTGCAATTGTTATCAGAATGGCCATGCACAGGAATGTGCCGTTTAATAGCCGGCTATCGTTGTCCGCGGCGAGCTGGCTATTAATTATCCGGGAAACGCGCGTTTGTCTCTCCGACGTGATTGCGAGAGCGTATCTAAACGCGCCGGCCGCTTAAGGCTTACAGACGATGCACTGACCTTGGGCGAGCCTTCAGCACCGAGATAGAAGAGACCGGTCGCACCTACGTGCGCCAGCAGGGTGTCGACCGCCAACTGCGTCTCCAGCAGGATTCTGGTCTCGTTCATCCAGTCCCGGGCGACGCTTCTAGGCGCACCCTTCAGCAAGTTCATGTATCGCAGGGTCATTTTGAAGTCCCCGCGATCCAGCCAATACCTGGAACAGGCCGAGCAGAACGGAACGTCGCGGCGAGCCCAAGTGTATTACTTTTTACATGCACAAACGTCTAAATAATTATAAACATAGTGCGGTAAGGTATGATACCCCTTCCCTCCGCCGTTAAATACAACGATATAACAATAGTGCATATACACAGGGTGTCCGGGATCTTTCGAAAACGAAGAATTGTGAAGATTAATCGGATCAAACTGAGAAGAAAAGTTATTTTGCAAAAACCGCAATGGTTATTAAATTATTAATGATTGAAAATTACTACATCTTGAGGCTCTTTTAATTGATAACTTGAAAATTTGCGTACTTATTTGCAAAATGGTAAAAGACTTTTTTGCTCAGAATTATCTAATCTACAATTATATGACGGCTGTTGTGCTTAGCGACAGGTTCAAGATTCAGAGTTCAAACTTCAATGTACTCATATCTATCGCTAGACATAATAGCCGTCGTACAATTGTAGGTTAGGTCATTCTGAACAAAAATGTCCTTCACCATTTAATTTGCAAATAAGTGCGCAAATTTTCAAGTTATTAATTGAGAGAGCTTCTGGATATAGTCATTTTCAATCATTCATAGCTTAATAACTATTGTGATTTTTGCAAAATGGTTTTCTTCTCGATTTGATCTGATTAATCTTCACAATTTTTCCGAAAGATCCCGGGCATTCTGTATATCTTCTATATAACATATATGTTTTCAGCATTTAAATTGCTGTTGTATTTAACGTAGCTGAATTGCTAATTTTCCTCCAAACCAACAGTCATGATGTATAAATACGATGTGCTCGAGCTGAAACAGCCTAACCGGAAGTAGGAGCCATTATTGGATCTCTTTGTATATCTGAAAGTCTGTCCGTTGTATGTCTGGAAAGGATTGCTCGTGCCAGAGGCATTCGATATTTGTCTAGTTTCGCTCCTATAGGAGAAAGATAGAAGATCTAGACGAAGATAGCATGCCTGCGGACAGTGGAAGAGGAATACAGCTTTATAAGCTCGCCTTTAAGATTCTCATAAGAACGCGCAAGCTACAGGCTGTTTAAAAGAAAGAGTTCGGGACTGTCCTGACAAACATAGGTCGGAAAATTAATACTGTCGGAGTTGCCAACAATTATTTATTCTATTTAATCAAAGCAAGCAACATCGGCGAAAAGTATTATGTTTAAAAAAAATCCCTGTAAAAACGAGTTTCTTCGCTCTGGCTCGGAATATGAAGAAATATTTGTTTTCTTCCCATTTATTCACACGCTTCAGCAAACAATTGTTAGTCACATATCCTTGTGAACAGCGAACAGTCGCACAGAACTATCACAAAGTTTTCACAGCACGGTAAGAATGACATCGCATTACTCTAATCAAGAAATGGCGGAGATGCACTTCATGTACGGCCGTGCGTCAAAAATGTGCAAGTCACTTGCTATAATTAAAATAAATAATTGTTCGTAACTCCGATAATATTCATTCTTCGACCCACGTTTATTAACTTTTTTCCCTCCATTAAGTACTATCTGAAAGTCAGAAAAAGTCTTGCACCTTAAGGCCATGAATGAAGCCTTGTTTTTAAACACCCTGTATACGTCCATACGAGATATCTAATATAGCTGTCAATATCATCGACATAAGAACATCTGGGTGAAGCATTTTGCGAGGAGAGAGTGGCAATTAGTGGTAAAGGGGGAAATTACGTTGATGCTTCTGGGTGGAGGATGATTTACGAAATAAGTCAGCAGAAATGATTCGACACTCGGCTGGCCGGGTAATAGCCGAGATCGAGGCCGCTAATTTAATTAGCAACGGACTTGAACGAGCGCCGACATGCGTCTTTGACCGCGAGCTTCGGTTTATTCATTTCCCGCGCAACGCACAATCGTACGATTAAATGTCCAGCAAACAGGAACAACACCGGCAACCGCGTCCGCGGCGCAATTTGCGGCGAGCAATCGGCGTGGAAGATTTGTTGGGCGATCTCTCTGGTTATTCACGAGAACAACATACCGGGGCCACTTCATCCCGGAGTTTCGAGACGGACGAGGACGCAGCCTCTCCTCTCCCCTCCCACTCCTCTTTCTCCGTTCCTCCCTTTCAGAGAAACACCGAGCGGACTGGATAGTTTGGCGAAAGGCATTCGCAGCGGAATAGTTGGCGACATCCGGCACAACTCGGAAGTTACACTATCGGACGCGACCTTTTCCGAAAGGAAACGCCGTCCCGGGGACTGCGGGCGCTTCGTTAAAAACTTCATCGCCCTCCTTCCCGCGAACCCCCTAATAACACGAAGTCTGAGACCCGAGCAGGTCCGGACGATGGAACGTTTATTCAACGGCTTAGGATCAAGTTAGCGATACCGCGACAGGATGCCGCCTCGCCTTCCTCCCGGTCCGGCGACGAGGCTCTTTCGAGGGAAGGAACCGCATGCAGCGGATAACGTCCGCGGGGGCAAAACTTTACCGCCTCCGTATATATATATATATATATCTATCTCTACCACGAGCACAACGCAGCCCGTTTCTCGATGCGGTAAAGTGAGATTAATGTTTTATCCCCGGCTTACACGGCTGATTTACGAAAAGAGAAAGAATACCGATGATGTTATCGGGATGGAAGGGAGAGGAAGGACGAGGACGTGAGAGGGTACGAGAAATTGGTGAAAAATTGCGATTGAACGTTGCGGACGTTGCGTGCTCGGGCATTTCTTTTTTTCTTTCTTCGATCAGCCGCTTGGCGATCTCACCGCGTCGATCCCGACTATTCGTCTGTTCGCATTACCCCCCTGAAGCTCTGAGGGAAAATATAAAATCGGGGGAGAGAGGGATGAGCGGACACAATACGTCCACCGGAGGCAGCACGCGGACTGTCTTTTCATTACGACAGATCGTAATGTACGGCGTACGTGAAATGGAGTGCGCGAGTCGTGTAGAAAACGCTTATCCCCCGTCTTGAAATCAACTCCACAACCCACGTGGCCTAATTCGAGGCACGGACGCGTGCTCGCGGATCCCGAAGTTTCTGGCTGCCTTCGGATTTCATATTCGGTGATATCGCTCCGCGGGAGCTTTCTGACTTTAGCCTTCACCCTGCGCCCTGGGAGACCAGCGATCTCCGAGATCCATTAAGGGGAGCCTTCGCTTTTCCCGCGCGTGTTCCTCCGCGGATAGCGGGCGAGTCCGGGAGAGCTCCTTTTACACGCCGTTCGATCGCATCGCCGTCACGGTTTCGGTCTCGATGGTGGCGCACGGGCTTTTCGCAATAATCTCGATTGAACTATTACGCCGAGTTTTGCCGGGCCTCCTTTCCTTACGAGTTACGTTTCCGACGAGTTCTCCCATCGATGAGAATGGCATGCTTGGTGTGCCAAAGGGTGCAGGAGCGTGACAAACGCGTTTGAACAATTATCCTTTTATCCGCATCGTCTATATTCCGATATATACTTTTTAATTCTATAAAATATTATTATTATTATTGATGTAGGATGATATATGTAGTACTGCTAGTAAACTAATATTTATTTATATTTCGAAATGCGTAATTCTTCGATCGCTCTGGCTTTCCGGCATAACAAAGCAAAGAGATTCTGGATTGTCCGAGACACAGCGTTAACAGAGAAGGAATTTTTCGTGCAATTTCAATTACGATCGGCGAGTCTCTGCTCTCCTGTCTTGCGCGCGAAAGGAAGGTTCCGTTTATTGAGTATATCCGTCAAAATAAAATAATATTTTGAGAAACTCGAGGTAATGGAAAACCTTAGAGTAAATGTTTCATACCCGATATTTACCAATTCCCCAACAAGGTGAACTCGGCTGACTTGGCGAAAACGGAAGGTAGGTATACAGCTTTCATCGATCAGATCGCGGGAATGAGATAAATCCATTCCGTAGGAGAAAATTTGACAAGAGAATTTGAAGCAATAGAGGGGTAAAAGCCCGCCGTCCTCCTCCTCTTATCCTTATATCTGTTATTTGTAGAGATGTGCGAATCAAGAATTTTTATGTCGAATCGAATCGAATCGAATCTCATTTTTTAAATTCGAATTCGAATCGAATCATAAAAAAATTTAACATGACTATTAAACATGCAAATAATGATGGAAGATTTTAATGTGAAAGGGAATATTAATATTGTAATATCACTTTAAAGTAAAATACATATTTAAATATTTGAAGTAATTTATAATTAAATTATTAATTATAAGTTAAGTTAATTACAAGTTAAGAGTACCTATTTGTATTATTTGAATTCGATTCGATTCGAATTCGAATAGTTCGCACATCTCTAGTTATTTGAATGATGCGCGAATTTCATTTTGGTAACATCAGAATTCAAGCAGCGACGGCAGAAATGTGCCGTGGCGGCGCCATTGAAAAAATCCGCCGAAACAATTCGAATCGAGTTAAACAGATTCAATTTCAGGCTTGCGCACAGCGAATGTGTGTGCCAAATGTCCCAATTCTTTCGGACAAAATTTTCGCGTTCGGCCTTGTTCGTATAAAGCAAACTCAAAATTTGTATTCGACGTACACTACATTTTTCTCCGATTTGGCACGATTGCAATTTGTGAAATTCGCGTAGCCCTGAGAGCCTCGGTTTTGTCGCCCGTTATCTTTCCAGTGCAACGCAACTGCGCTTCAATTTCCTTGATCTTTTACCGCTCACCAAATTCCCGCGTCAGCTGTATCGATCGGATCCGATTTTTCCGCAGTCTGACACAGCTGCAGCTCGCGTGGCAAAAATCACGCACAAGCCTGAAAGAGAGACGTGGCTTCTTATCCTTGGACCTTGGATCCTTGGAACAATAACAATCCTGTTAGAACGGGGAAGCAAACAGGCTGCAGTATCGAGCAAAACAAACGACACAGACCCAACACGTGCGTTCCTGCAAGCGGGAATCGGGATTGAAAACCACGAAGGACGCATCGCGATTCTCACGGCGAGGCATTTGCTCACCGGAATCACGCGGGGAGAAGTTGGACGTGTGCGGCGACGGCGGCTACGAGTTCGAGAAATCTTTTAGAAGCATATTCCCATGATATATCGGCCGCGCGTCGGTGTACTTCCCTCCCCCTCCCCAATCCGCGAAACTTTCAACCCGCGGCTGTTGAAAGTGTGTGCATATGCAGTGCGCCTCGGAATTAAAAATTCAGAAGTCTCGCCGTCTCCGCCGCGCGTGTTCGCTCTCGCGGCCGACGGACGTGTCGCGCGAGCCGCACGCTGCTGCATACATCGCCGCCCCCAAAGCCCCGGCGCACCGGCCAACTTATTTCGCCCACCTGAGTTCCGGTTTCGGCCCGCGTAAAATATACCGCCTGCACCGCGGCGTCCACATTATTTATTCACGTCACTGAGCATCGCCCGTAACGCCACGCCGCGCTATCGGCCGGCCCTGCACGAGATTCCGCCTTGGGAATCGCGGTAAAAAAGTGTCCTCTCGTCCGGCGTTCCCTCTTTGCGCGCCTCTGATAGAATAATTACATATTCATCAGGACGCCGTTTACGCTTTACGAGCGGCCAGGGAAGAATATAACTTCGTGAGTCGCGTCGCGAAATGCTCCCGATGAGAAAGAGAGGAGCGCGTGTCCTCCCTATAGACTTTTGTACATTTTATATATAGAAAGAGCGCTTGACAAAAAGCCGCTACGTCTGAGAAGGATGGCCTGTGCATTCGATCTTTGTCTAGCTGACTAGCTCGGCTCCCGTTAGAACAGGATGGACGAAGACGCGGCGCGCCCGTGTGGACAGCGGGGAGAAATATATTGGGTTGGCAACTAAGTGATTGCGGATTTTGTCGACAGATGGATTTTACACTTTCTTTTGTTTCGTTAACGTGTTCAAAGTACCTAACCTATATTTTTTTCTTATTGTTTGGACTTCTACCTTCTTTCATTTAGTACAAAAATTATATCGATTAGTTCTTTAGTTTCGTTTTTATCTCAATTTAAAAATGGAAGAGCAAGACGTACACGTTGCCATTATCGATTCAGATCGTCATAGCACAACACGTGATATTGCAGAGAAGCTCAATGTATCGCATACATGCATTGAAAAAAATTTAAAAAAGCAAATTAAAAATTTTGAATTTTCATTCTTATTTAAAATCCGCAATCACTTGATTGCCAATCCAATAGTTGTCCTTTATACTTTGTTTCAGAACCTCGCAAGAAGACTAGCAGTCTAGAAGTCTATGATCCTCCGGTGAATCCTGTCCCGGCGCGAACGTTACGGCGTGACCGCGTACAGATGTCTCGAGTGATGAAGAAGAGGCACGATGCGCTAATTAAATGCGTTTTGTCGCGTTAAATGAAACTTTTGGAGAATTCCAGGCAGTCACTTTCACTGTCCCGCCGTGTCGTTTTGGGATATTTTGTATCCTCCATTTTTTAAAGCGCAAAGGATGGTGTAGTTCTTCCCCGATAAAACTTTCGGCATATGAGATTACTCGCGGCGGCTTCTTCAACGGCGGTTGACTGATTTCTGGTACTTGGTAGACTAATTATTGTACAGAGTGTGGTCGTAATTACACGTGACACTAGTATGAATAAACCGATTTAATTAGCGCGAATCCTGTGAAGACGTCCTCCTCGGCGCGTGGGGACCTAACTGTGAAATAACGTGAATAATATATTTTTAATTTGCAGCCGCCGAGAGGCGACGACGTGTTGGTAAGATTGGCGGGGTAAGGTTGGCAAAGTAGCGTAACTCCGTACGTGCCAAGAATATCGGCAAGGGGGTCTATTTTGCCTCGCAACAGACATTCGATATTTCGCAAGCCGCCCTCTGTGGCCGCCAAAAAGTGCGGCGCGAGAAAGCAGGCGAAAAGCGCTTTTAAGCATAAAACTATCTCTTTCGCGGTCGAGAGCGTCGTCGTCGTCGTCGTCGTGCGGTTTCCCGCGCTGGATATTCGCGACTTTCTCGCGGGCGCGGTTAAAGCGAGAGATCGAACATAAATTTTTTCGTGCGAACGAAAGCAGATGCCGCCGTTTCCACAGATCCCCGAACGCGAGATTTGCCGAAGATCGCGCTACCTCGTGTCAAAATTTATTCCCCATCGCGCTTTGCCGCGCGACATATTCCATTGTCGTCCCGATGAAACTTTGATCGCGGATTATCCTGCTTGGAGAATTCCAGGCCGTCACTTTGACTGTCCCGCTGCGTCGTTTTGGGATATTTTGTACCCTCGATTTTATTAAAGCGCAATGGATAATGTAGCTCTTTCCCGATAAAATCTTTTACGACATATGAGATTATTCGCTTCTTCTACGGCAGTTGACTGACTTACGGCAGTTGGCAGATTAATTATTATACAAGGTGTGGTCGCAATCACACGTAATACTAATATGAATAAAAATGAAGAGAGCAAAGAGGCAATTCTCATGCAAAGATGATTTAAAAATGTAGATGGAACGTTTCCTTGCGTGCATCGTTTAAATCAGTAATCTGCATTAATCGTTTTATAAGACAGATGTTCTAATTAGTGTTCCACGTAACTTCATAATGAAACTAAATTGATAAATTAATGATATAGATGTTAAGTTAGATACACAAAGTTGATTTATTGAAAAGTTTAACATCTGCGTGTGTTGTATTTTTTCTAATTTACGAAACATTTTTAACTTATTCTGAGTGTTCTCTCCCGGAAATGACTGAAGTATCATTTAGTGACATGACAGTTTTATTTCTTACTGTAGTTATGATGTTTACTATGATTTTTAACTTTATTCGAAACTTGTTATAACTGATAATAAAATTTATAATAAAAACACATGTTCCGGATAAATACAAATTTGTATCATGACTAACTTAAAAAAAGAAAAAAAAACACGGATGGGATTATATTACATATTATTAAATAACTAATATTAATTAAATATGGCAAACATTATATTCGTAACTCGATGTAACAATAAACATAATTCAAATGCCACTTATTAAATTGCGTTGTGGCTGAACATACGTATACAGCGAATAATCAAAATAATAACAAAATAAAAAAAAATAATAAATAAAAAAATAAAAATATTTCAGAATTTTCCTCAAAATAACGTTTTGCTCTTCCGACCTGTTTTTATATGAAGATTCGCCCCCTTTACAGCTGTGTCACGATTACCGTGTCGGATCCTGTTTAAACAACTACTTAACTCGACCTCCGAATGTTCCCGTTGTACATCAAGTGTCCTGTTAATTACACAAAGTGTGAAAGAATCAGCACAATATACGTGCTAATCTTTACTTAGTGTTGCGAAAGGTACATCTAGAGTAACGTTCCACAAGGGAGCAAAACTAGCGAGGAGTCCGTCGCGAGAAAAACGAAGGGATAAGACAGCAAAATGGCAGGCCAACGGATTTCGCCGGGGATAACCTGACGAGTAGTAAATGGTGGTGTTCTTTGTCAAAGTGTACGTGGCGGATATTACGGCAGGTGTTTTCGTCTTTCCCACCTCGGTCGACCTGATGGTCGACTGGATATATTGCGTTCTCTCTGGTCCTTAGGGTCTCGTAAGGATAATTTATAAGGTCGCCCGGGCCGCAGTGAGTGGAGAAAGAGAGAAAGAGGGCCTTGCGTGACGCGGAAATTGCTGCTCGAGTTACGAGTACAATAAAAGTGCATTTAATCGGCGACGCGATAAATCCCGCTGGTGTGTGTGTCGAGAGTATCGACACGACTTCGTGCCGATGTTATCTAATTTCGCATTCTCTCCGCTTTGTATATGAGAATTCGCTGTCGCAGAATTCGCCGAAATACGCCAGCGGAGAAGTTTCACGCGGAGCAAATACTCACGAGAAGCCGTTGTCGCGATTCATTCGCGATTCATCGACGATTTAAAATTTTGCTTCACGCGCGATAAACTCGCTTAGTCCCGCGGAATTAACTGGCTGCGCGCATCAGGCTGATACGACAGCCTCGAAGAATTTACGAGAGGTCTTACCTGGCACGGTGAAGTATGTCGTACGTATTCAGCGAGTTTACGTCGATTGGCTCGTCTTCGAGCTCGCTCTTTGAAATTGGATTGGCCGTTCTGAAGACCAAGAAACTTTGAAGATAGCTGAGGAAATATATAGGCAAGGATGCACCCTCCTCTGGCACCATGGCTAATCTCCTTGCCACGTCCTCTACCTAACAACATGTAATGCGAGAACGAACTTTCAGGACCGGAAACTGTCATTTGTACGCGGAAATCCCGTTAATTTGTGCACGGCCGGCATTACGAGTCGAGAGGAAGGAAATGTCGAGAAATAATTTAGCTTTGTCCTTTAATCGAAACAAAAAAGAATGGAATTGACTTGTAAAAGCTAGACACTTTTTACGCACGAATGCGCAAGCAAACGGAAGAAAAAGACCCGATTAAACGACTGTGTACTGAAAACTATTCGAAGAGAAAAAAGTATCTAAAAGTTGAGAAATATTTACTCTGTGTGTGTGCTAACACACGTTTACCTGTACCAATGTACATATTTTCACACTGGGAAAACGTTTTCTTGCAAATGAGAAAGTGTGTATTTTCTCAAAAGCTTTTCGTAAAAGCGATTGTTTGCTCTACTTCGATAGAAGAATTTCAGTTTATGCAAACATGTTATTAGTATCTACCAAATAAATATTTTTTATATATTCTTTAGATACTTTTTCTCTCAGAGCAAAATAAGCGCGTTTCACTTTCGACGCAGGTCGCTCGCATTTATGAGTTTCGACATCTGCGATAATCTTCATCTTTTTCGTTTATTAACTACATGCCGATTATATCGTCGCTTTCGCAGCGTGTCATTATCTATTAAGTAATCAAAAAAGTTCGCGCGATTTCGTATATTAAAAATTAAACAAGGGCAGAAATTTTCAGAAAAAATGTTCTGATTGATACGTGAATAAATAATTGATAATTGATGACTCTTCGTTATCAATAACGGGGAGTCATCCTGATCGTGGTCTTCAAATGATTCATCGCCAGAAGAAAATTTATTAAACTACTTTTGTGCAGTCCGTTCTTTTAGCATATCTTCTCCAAATGCTACGCATATCTTATGACGTACTTCTGCATTCGACCCGAGTTTAAATTCATAAAACGAACATACTGGAATTAAATTCAACTCAACAGACATATTAAAGAGGTGAATAACCATAAAAACCAAGAGACGATAAAGCTCACCAATTAACTCAAATTTGTGTCACGTATATGATACGCATAAACACGCGCCCGACAAGTCTCAACAAGATTCAACGATTCGTTGCATCGAACTCAAACAAAAACCCGCACGAGCTTTTACTGGTTTTCTCCAATATCGAAAAGAGTCCAAAAGTAGAGCCGGATATGGTCTAACCAAATTTTCTCTTTCGCGTGTCTGCGCACTTTCGTCTCGGCTCTTACAAGTCGACTGAATTTCCCTCCGCTTCGATCTCGGAATCTTATCTTCCATATACATTCTATATACATTTTTTTTCATCTGATATTTTAATAATATTACCCATGTCAGGTGAGATAATAACGACGTCGCGAGAAGAACTCGTCGCATCTCGCGCGAACCGAAAGAGTAAGAAACTCTATTCTACGTGTTCATTAAAAATGCGCACTGCCATCCGCGATCGGCAATTTCGAACGACGAGATCATCTTGCGCAAAGTAAATGGAGGAGAGAATACGTGAGGCCAATGTGATTCCACGGAGCGGAAGAAAACGCGGTAATTACCTTGAGGAATCTCTTGCGCAGGGCATCCTCCGGGAACACTCCTCTCTTGGCTGCTTCTTCGGGAATGCCTCGAATAGCGGCGCACACCAGAGGATCGTCCCTCGCTGCAAGCAAAAGGAGCGGAAAATTGAATCAACGTGGATACCCCCTCCCTCACACGCACACGCGCACACACGCATATACCTACGCGTACACACACGCGAGTCGTGCACTTGGTTTATTTAATTAATTAATTGCAACGGCAGTTAACGACTCTATACTCGTTTGCTCGCTCCGGGCCGACGTTTCGAGAGGTTCGACAAGCAGCGGAATTAATCGGCATACGCACGCATATACATTATTCGCGCGATAACCCGACTTCCGCAATAGCGTAATTTGCTTTGCGGCTATCGAATCCACAACGTTTCGGCTACATTTTTCCCTTATTGCACGAATCGGTTAGCTTGCCGTACAAACTGCGTTGCGGCTGCACATGTCAGTCTGTGGTCCGCGATTGGTTATTGCGAATAACGTATCGCACACACACACTCACACACAGAGGCTCACAGGTAATCAGCTCACAGCAATGAGAGCCGTTTTCGCGCGTTGTGAACGATCCATTTCGCCTACGTGTGAGAGAAGGTCATCGGCGATCACCCCCCGATGAAGCCACTGAAGCGAGAGAGGCCTCATCCGTTTGCGATCGCGGACAACTCAGGATGGCCAAAGTCTCCGAGTAAACGAGCCACCATCTCCTATCTCTGCGAGTCTCGACGGAGCCGGTAATTCAACATTTTAACACGACAGTGCCGGGGACTCGGGAGAATGATTTACGCGTCGAGATAGCGCCCCGGCTACCGACAATTAAACCTTGGCCTTGGTCGCGCGAGAAAGTCATACATATATACACACACATATACATGCGTGAACGCCTAACGTTCCTCTCAGCGGCGACAGAGAGTTCCAGCGGGAATTGAAATCGCGAGGGCGACTCCTCGATAGTGAATTCAAATGGAAATGGCGGGAAAAGCGCGAGCGCGTTCACATACACACACACACACATACACACACACACACACACACACACACACACACACACACACATATATGTGAGCGAACGGGCGCACGCTCCGGAAACGCTCGACAAAAAATTTATAGACACTTGGAGCAATTAAGTGAACTCGGCTCGCGGTAGCTAGGAGAAGCGCGAGGAGGTGGCAGCGGCGGCCATAATTAATGAACACGAACGGGCCACTTCATCAGACTGACACAGGCTCTTTGAAATGCCCACCGTGCGGGCCCTTTATGAACGTTCGTTTCCGATTAAGTCATAAATCTTCGACGGAGTTCTCTTTCGCCGCGGCGAGTAGTCGCGCGTCTCTGTCCGCCGTTCCCGGTGGCCCATATACACACACGCATGAGAGAGAGAGAGAGAGAGAGAGAGAGAGAGAGAGCCCGGTCTCGTATCCATTGTTCCGGGCTTTCATGCCGCCTCGGAACGAAGGCGGTGCCCGCGGGAACAAGCGCGGATTGCTGAAACCTACGGCGGCGGTAACGGAGGGCAACCAAGCGCGATTAAAACGCGCCGGGAATTCGCTGCCGAGCTGAAAAACCGCTGCTCGTCGTCGGGACAATGCGGAACAGCGCGGACTTAGCCGCCGCCGAAAATGAAATTACACGACGACGAGCGGGACGACGGGAGCGGGGAAGTCGATTTACATCATCGCGCTGCCGACGACGAACATGGCGACGATGATCGACGGCATCCGGATCACAGGGGTGCGCGATACGAAGACGCCCGGGCACGACGAAGTGCCGTCGAGGGAGGAGCGGAGGAGTATCGGCCCACACCGCGGCGATACCGGGTGAAATATGAAACTCGGCTTTTACGCCGGGACGCCATTGTTGCGCGTTTCAATTTGCACAACACGTGTGAAACGCGCGTTGTATCGCACCCTCGGAAAAAAGGGGGAGGGGGCGGCAGCGGGGCGAGGGAAAGAAGAGAAAAAAATTAGAGAGAGGCGAAACGAGAGCACTTTGCCGCGAATTATATACTTTTTTAATGCCGAGGTGCGAAATAGTAAACGGGCGGATAAACGTCGGGCGGAATTGCGAATAAATCGTCCGGTGAACGAAAAAGAAGAAAAAAAAAAAGAAAAAACAGACCGAAATAAAAAAAGGAAGAAGAGGCGAGGACGTCGAAAAAGCGTTTCGTTTTCGTTTGTCCGAGTACGAGCCGTTAATTCAGCGCGTGTGTTTCGGCGTGGGACGGTAATTAAATATAAAGCGTGAGCTTTTCCGCGCGCGTAGTGATACGAGCGATGCGCGTCGCGGGCTTAATTAACCCGGCTATGGCCGCCGTATTAATCCCGCTTCGTACTCGAAAAAGCACGCGCGCGTGCAGCAATGGCGATGCACACGCGAAACGGAGGGGGTTAATAATAATTACGAGCGACCGCGCGACGCTAACGCGGCGTCTTCTTCGGCCCTGTAAAGATCCGCGACGCATTCCGTGGCTGAAGTTTCCGCGCGTTACTTTAGAAGTTATTTGCCATATTTTGCATCAAACCCAAACCGTGCCTGGTCTGCCGTGCGAATTTACTTTAAAAGTACATCGCGCTATTTCTTCGTTTCACCGAGGAGAGAACGAGAGAGAAGGGGAGAGGGGGAGGGGGGGGGGAGAGAAAAGAGCGTTACCAGATGCTCGAACGTGCGCGTAAGTAAAAAGTTAACAATTCACGATGCATGCGCCAAAATGCACTGGGTGAGTCATCGTCATTGCCGTCTCGGGTAAAACAATGGCGAAGTAGCCAATGCGCGTGTTATTTATCATATGGAAATTTCTCAAGATTTTCCCGGCAGCAGCCCGGCAGGAACAGCCTCCCCCCCCCATCAGGATGCCCAAATTTGTCTCGAAATAGCTTCTGTCATTATACCATTATATCATAGTTTTTCAAGTTTATTTCAAAATAATTTACCGCACACGAACTGAGAACCTCATTCTGATCTCAAACATGAATTCTCCCTGTCTGCAATCGGAAAAAATGTCGTGAATATTCGCATTCTTCTCCTGATAATTTCTCTTCTCTTGAAATTTATATGCTTTCATGGAATTACACGGGAAAACTGTTTTCGTACGTACCAATTTTCGAATTTAATGAAATGAAAAGTGAAGCAAAATTTTAAATACTCTGGGCACATTTATATCACTTAAATATTTGTAATTATATGGCGCGAATACATTCGGAGTGCTTCATATGTTTTATTTAATGCTAACGGATGGAAAATGGAAGCCGGAGAAAATCTTTCGGAAAACACTCGACTCGTATCAGATGGGACTGTTTTTATTTTTCCACTTGGAACCGCACGATCGAGACATTAACTGCTTCTAACCTGATTGGTTTCTATCGGATTCCGATTAGATCCCACGAAATTTTCTACCTGAGAAAAGTTTCGCGAGTATTAAACTTCGAACGCGTTATATATAACATTAAGATCGGTTTACATCGAAAAAATAGCAGTAACAGCGTGAATCGAAAAAAGCTAAACATTTTTTGGCAAAACCATGCTTTCGAGAAAACAATTTACCGAATATTTTTAATAAAATTCGTCTTTGACGATGTGTGCAGGACACAAATGTTAAGGACAAAACGAACGTAGAAACAATAAAAGCCCGTTTACAGCAACAAAATCGCTGATAACGTGTGTTTTTACCAATATGGTCAACCAATGTGGTATAAAATAGCAAAATTGACCAAAAACCGATAATATCAATGTTATTAGTAAAAATCTCAATACTGAGAGTACAAGTCTAAGCGCGTTGGTAATGCTCTGTTATTAACAAAAAAAGTGCTATATACGAGTTTCACATTTTCAAGAGTGGCGTCAGAAGGACATATGCCGTCGGCACGTTTGACCATAAAGACACTATCATCAAATAACGGTCAATGATGGGATCCAGAGTGATAGTGCGCTGACGTCATTCCAACAGGTACCGAGCAGAATATCCGCCGATGCCGATGGCACTCGTTATGCGCAAGTGACGTCATTGTTATTAATATCGCCTCCAACACACGTCCGTCGCATTCGATATTCTGCTAATAACGTTTGCCTACGTCATCCTTTGATCTAGACCGCCAAGTGATGGGTTGCGAAAATAATGTTATTTGCGCAGTGTCGGGAGAAAGAGGAGGGGAGATGACGAAGTTATCAACATGTTACCAGAATTATTAACTTTTGTCGATCGCGCTTGTTCCCCGCAAAATATCGAAAACGGATGTTGTTAACGTTTCTTCCACCGGAACAAACAAGGCGATAGCGGAAATGTGATAAACTTTTTTTTTTTAATAATCTGCTTGTTATAAAAATTATCTTTGGCAATTCTTTATCGTTCACGCCACAATTATCGACAACGCTGCTGCAAACACACGTTACCGGCCATGTCACTGCCGGCGTAAACCGGCCTTCAAAGTCGAACTCAATCGAGATACTCACGTGCTGCTTTGGAAATGGCGTTAATTTCAGGTTCCAATGGTCTGATTACTTTGTCCACGAGTGTACCCGGTGGTCCAATTTTCACCGCCCTACCGAGGGCTTGACAGGCTGACCAGAAGATCTGCCTGTTCGATATGCCCTTCTCATCCTCCATGCGGGCTGAAACAAAAATATTTCACCCAAACTTAACGAACGTGCCGGTGGAGTTATCTTTCATTCGAGCGCCGGAGAAAAATAAGTCGGGGTTATTAAAAATTTAAATAACCCCGTTAATAGTCTGGGAGGGAGGAAGGGGGAATTTGCACGTGCCGTCGTGGCTAGAGAGTGGTTTTCGTTTCTTCTCATTAAAATAACTTTGCATTCGTGCGATCATAAATTACCGAGGGAGATAAGTAATATGCACCTGCATTCCGCAGGCGATATACCACGCTGAAAATTTAAATAGCGTGATAAACCACCGAGTGAAAACAGAAGCTGACGATTTTTTTTTTTTAGCCATGTGTTACGCGCGCGTCGCCATTAATGTACGCCGTAATCTATATTAATCGCCGCATACACACACACACATACACACACACACACACACACACATCACACTACCATCATTGGAAAAATTTAGCTCTCGAGCTGAAGAAAGAGAAGGAGAATATAATCGTCAGGAGAGTCGCGGCAAAAATCGCTCGTTTAATTTAATTTACGCCGACGTACTCGTCGAGGCTCCTTAATCGTCCGGGAATCCTCTAGGGTATCGCTGTCATGTTACAGCGACGTGACGAACATTTCGCGCACTTCCATGACACGGTCGAATTTTTCGCTAACAACGTTCGCCGGGAAAATCCCGTCGTGTTGATATATATGAATTATGGAAACTTGTCGGGTTGTACGCGCGCCCGCTCTGCAAATCGACGGACGGGCGCGGGCGGCCGAGCGCGAGGCCGGTGCATAATTTATGTTACGTTATGCATAATTTATAAACACAAAGCATATTTACAAGTAAAGATAAAGCTCGTGCGTAAACCTTGTAATCTGCAATTGTTTGTCGAGATAGTAAAGCGCGCAGATGAAATTTTTCAATTTATGCGTCGCGTCAGGCGATAAGTTTTGTCACAAAAGGATGACACGGCCGCGGTCCTTCGGGCGCGACGGCGGCGGAGGAATAAACAATCGCTGCGCAAACTTTCGCGGTCAACGTGATTGGATTAAAAATGCGTTCGCAGCGGGCAAACATCGTTACGTCGTCGCGGATATTTTCCGCGGGCGCGCGTGTGCGCGCGAAAATATTCTTTTGATATACCTGCGGGAAACGAGATAATTGAAAGGGCAGAGCGGTGGCGTTTCCGAGCCTCGCAGTTATTTGTCCCGCCGTAATTGATCGAACGATTGTTCAACGAATTATCCTCGAGAGATAAATGGAGATTTAATCGGCGCCCGCCCCCTGTGTGCGGACGGCCGATTAAAATCTCCTCGTCGTCAATGCCGCGGCGGAATTCGCAATTGATGAACAGTGAAAATCGGACACAGCCGGGAAAGATGTTCCGCAGCGCGGCCGTCAACGCCCGCGAACGCTCGCGGGAAAGAAGAACGAGTTCCGCGCGGATCTCTATTCGTGATCTATTACGTGTATCAGTCAGCATCGGGTTTACCGGGCGATCTTGTCTAGGAAGAGAATTACTTCGCCGAGGTCAGAGATTTTCCGCGCGACTTCGCCCGTTACTTCCGCTACTGGCTCGCTCTTTTCCGCATCGCGGAGCGATCCGCATCTCCATTCGCCGCGATGTCGCACGCGCGCCAACTTTCTCTCTCTCTCTCTCTCTCTCTCTCTCTCTCTCTCTCTCTCTCTCTCTCTCTCTCTCTCTCTCCTCTCTCTCTCGCTGCATGCGGCGTTTTATTGAAATTTCCAGCCTTGATTTTTCCAACGTCACGTGGATACACTTTTAACCCTGCGACGTAATTTTCACGCTCGTCAATGCATATATGAGCCACTTGCGTGCATGAAAATTTACCGGTCTGATAAAGTTACGCGAGCGACTATGACGTGCTTCACGCTGAGAGGAGAGGAGAGAAACTGTTAACCCTGACAGTAGCACCAAGCGCTTTCCAGATGTACTGATGTAGTTTCCCCAGGCAAAATTATGCACGAGAGCCATGTCGAAAGTAAAAAAAAAACCAGTGCAATGATTGCAACTCACGATAATTTAATAAATTCTAAATTAATCCTTCACTGATTTGTATACGCTCGGTGTTACTCAAGCACGTAAAAGGGGTCAGCTGATTTCTTAATCTCATTACAAGTTATAGTTAGTCTTGATACTAACTGTCTGTTTTTTTATCGTTATTTGAGACTGCTGCGATGGGGAAAAATGCTGGATTTAACCTTCCGAGATGGAGCGGCATTTTTTTTTTTTGGCAGTGTTCCCAACGTTCTGTGAACATTTCAGTTCACTTCATCCAGGAGAGGAACAACCGCATACAGTAACTGCTTCTGATGAAGTAAACTGAAATGTTCGTGAAGCGTTGAAAATACGTCAACAAAAACGCAGCTCCATAAATAAAATCTAGCATATTTTTTATTATTCGAATGTAAAAAAGTAGCAGCACCTGCGTAGAAATTTTTTTTAAATTTAACTGAAACTGATCTAATTTCCCGAAATCTATGCAGATTAAAATTACGAATGCAATATGTCTCAAATACACGATTTTTTAAGTGAGAAATTCAAAATTTTCCCAGTATTTTTTTTGCCTTTCGACTTACGTTAGAAAATTCCATCTTTTTTTTTTAATTTTTACTTCACAAAAACCCAACAGACACATGCTTCTGATCGTAAAATATTACATTATTTATTGCAAATCATTGGAACATGTATTCTCTACGAATCACCTAATCGCAAGTTGTCATGTAATATTATAAAAAAGTATTAATGTTATTGAAGAAAAATTACAAGTTTCTATTTCAATTCTAGAGAAACCATATTTGGAATAAGAATGAAAGTCCCAATTGGTATCGTAAGCATTTGACCAATTTCGGAACAAATCTGGAAATTCCAATCGTAATCTATGTTGTATCTGAGATAATCCAGAAAAATTCCAATACGATATGCATATAATTTTATTATTAATAAGTAACGTTCACTGCAAAAATAGATTTCCTGATACGCGACTGTACTAACAAGTAGCGCAAGCAAAACGCTTTCTCTCAGTGCAATAATGTGTAGTCTCCCTCGCGTAAGAATACAAGCAAGCCGAATACGCGATGAAATCGCGTAATCTGAGCGCGATAAATCGAGCGAGGAATGAAAAATTCTGCAAGATAACCTACAAGCCTGGTTTCACTCTAAGGTCGATCCGAAATTGCACGCGACCGTGTCACTCCGCGTAACAGCGGCGTTCATTTGAAAAATTCGTCATTAACGTCTAGCAGGATTACCGAAGCAATTAAAGTCAATTTACATCGGCGCCCGGACGAACGCGAGGGAGCAAATTATAGTCCGTAACAAGTGCAATATCATTCTTTATGACGGTAATCACTTTGCGAGCATGGACGTTTCGAGGACACGCGCGCATGTGCGCGTGATTAATCTCTCGCAATAGACATTACAACCGCCCTCCCCCGGCGATTTTATCGCGCCGAGTGCGAATTTTACGAGGAGTATTTTTGTCCTTCAAACATCGTCCTTTCACAAAATACCCATATTACCTTCTCCGGCCGAGAAGAGAGAAGAACAAGAATGAAAGGGAAAAAAAAAGGAAGCCTCACACGAAAGCTTAGTCAGCAAGCCGCCCGTTATCCTCCACTTTAAATTACTAGCCGCTGCCGCTCATTCTGGCCTAACTCGAGCTCGAATAACCGAACCATAATTCGCGACGGCGGCAATATCATTTCTCGCGATAGCAATAACTCGGAGCGCACCCGCGCGTTCCTTCCCAATTAAATTAATCCTTCGCGGGGCGCGCACAACCGGCCGCGTTTTATCGCGCCTCGGAAAAACGCGCGCGGCAATGGCGGCGGCGCCGCCGACCGGACCAGTATTATCAATTTCGCCGCATAAGCAAGCACTTCGCAAACTCAGCCGTAAACGGCCTGAGCCGGGGAGCGGGCGAGCGGCGAATTACCGAATCCGTCGTGTTATTTCGGCTTTATTGCCACCTCTGCTACGGCGCTTTATTGGCGGTACATTACACATAAACCGCGCGACCGCCCGTCTGTCTCTTTTTTTCCTTTTACGAGTGGCTCGGACGCGGTAGGTAATTTCGCGAAAAATCGAATAGAAGTCGTACCGACCGACATCATCGTCGTCGTCGTCGTCGTCGTCGTACGATGTGGCTCGCGTTTCGTGCACGACGAAATTCTGCCCAGGGTAGAATATAACTTCTAAGCATTCCGCGTCGTGCCGTGCAGCGCAAAACCAAACCACACCGCGCTGGAAGAGCAATTATTCGGGGACATCCGCGCGGTTATTAAGCCCGTGGTTTTATATCATCGACCGATCGATCGTTGTTTTATTGACGATACAGTCAAATCCACTAATGCAGCGCCGTATGTCGACCAGTTTGCGCTCGGCAGACGGCAGACGCTCCATTTTTACACGGCTGCCTGTCCGAAGAGACCATCTCGATATTTCTCTCGCTTTTTCGTCAATTGTTTTCGATGCGCCAGAGAAATGCCGGACGTGCGGAAATTATTATGACAAGGTTCAATCAGCGAGGAACATTGCAACACAGTATTCAACACGTCCGCGAGGATGACGTCCGGGATTGGGAGAGTTGCTTTTCAGAAAACTGTAATTATTAATTAACTGTAATTAAGTAACTGTAATTATTAAGGAGTAACGAATCGTTGAGATTTCGGTTATTTTTCCCGCTGGTGAGAAATAAAAACTTGCAACAAATAATAACTTGCAACGACCTGCTTTCGCAAGTCTGTTAACTTTTCCTGTGGTTGGCAATCAAAAGTCACAATGATTTCCATTGGGTTTTCAAGACTTTTTTTTTACGTTTCGTTGCCACCTATAAAATTGTCACTACTGATCACTAGGATCGCGGAGCAATCGATTATGACAGGAGCCGAAATGACACAGTATACGATGTAAATATTGGCTCTGTTTTTATTACACTCTTATCCAATAGAGTGTAATAAAAATACTTATGTATTTCCGAAATTC